GACGCTTTGTATCGTAAGCGACCTAGAGTTGGATTTAAATCTTATGTGTCAAGTTTGACGTGCTCTTGACCCTGTACTTTGGACCGTTTTTACCGTAAGCGGCATAGAGTGTTGCACAAAAAGTTATCATTGTCAATTTAATGTCAACAATAATAAGAATAAAATATACCAATGGATTTATGTTACATAAATAAGTAATATTTGTCTTACAAATCGCTTAATTAAACATGCCATTACCTTTTTGTTCATCGAAAGAAAAAGTTAGGTGCACCACAGTCCATCGTCAAGTTCGAATTTGAAAAATATTTTCCACGCTAGCGTGCAAAAAACGCTTTTGCGCGCAGATTTATAATGAGAAAGAAAGCCTTTCCGGGCTAGTGAGGTGAAAAACAAATTAATAAAATTGAATAAAATCCTGACTTTATTTAAAATAATAAGAGATTTCTATATTAATTCTTGCTTTGTAAACAATAGGGTCTTCGGTAACTGTATTCTAAATAATGTTTGTAGCCTTTGCCGGTCGAGATGTTCGAGAGAATCATACGGGAGTGACGTGTGATCCCATGTAGCGTTGGTTTTCAGCAAGCCCGATACGAGTGAAGCATAGACTCGAGCGAAAAGAATATATACATCCATACTTATATATTATATACAGGTCTAACGATTCGAGTCTCGCCACAATGTGAATTTTAACTCATTTTTTGTGAGAGTATCACTTGAATATTATTGTCGACCATCATGGGTGTGGATGAAGATGGATTTTTGGCCGAAGGGTGTCATGTATCGACGATTCCGAGGTTACCGAACACCCGCGTTGCGGCACAATTCACAGTACGTACGTGTAAATAAATAATGTAGTCTTTTATTATTATTATAATGTATATTACTCTATAATATTATACATATATAAAAATACAAAACATAACCTACAAATTAGATAAGCTAATACTGAACAAACACCACACGCAAAATAGTCGCCTTGACGTCGAGTTGCGGACACCAGCCCGTTACACCAAGTACCAAGTGCTGGATAAACAACAAAAAATCAAATAATTATGCTAAATTTTATGTTTCATTTCAATTCCAATGTAAATATTTGACCCTTAATTAATAAATTTGTCGGTCTTTAATACAACAGGTCTTTAATAAACGTCACTCGGGAAAATAAAACAAACACGTTCAATAAATTCCGGTTATCTTGTTCAAGTATCTAAATTACACAAGAATCTGGTTATCTCTATTCAATCGCTTTTATAACAGATTCAAATCAATTCCGTAAACGTACAACTTGACGAGATGGAACAAAAGGTTGCTTAATGCCATAGTTTCTCAAAGTCCTATTAGACAATGAAGTGTGGTCACTCCAGCTGAGAAAGAGACCGTGAGAGGATGCTGGTTGATAGTAGTCAACCAAGGTAACAGGAAAGTTGCATCTTTGCCGAAATACATGAAAATTCAATCTAATCATTGTTCTTTCTTGGTAATTAGTATGTGCCCATATACGCATTTTCCCAGATTGGTCATTTTATACTAAACCACAAAATCTGTGCCTACTATAATTAAGTGTTGTATTGAATGTCAGGATTTTTTACTACTATGATATTAAATTATTTTTGGTAGAATTACTTCACTAGTTAGTTATAATTATTAATACAAAGATCGAACACTCAATTTTTTTTTTCGATCCGGGCCGATTCTAACCGACGTCTTCCAGCAAACTGTATCAGATGCTACTCGTATGCCAACTAAGCCACGGAACGAACCAGCGGATCTCACGAATTTCTCTACGTGCTTGTTTGTTGGATCTTTGTATCTGGTTTTTAAACGTACCTACTGGTCAATTTTTATTAAATACGAAAGTACAATACGATATAATGAATCAAAAGGAAGGGTTGCTTAAAATTTGCATGTGGTACAACAAAGAAAAAAGTAATGTTGTGTACCATAAAAAATTAAAAATTGTTTTATAAAATCAGAGTCTAATTACACTTGAGATTAGTTTGACATAAAATCAATGGATGTACGTAATTCACAAATGGTTGCAGAACTCAATTAATTATTTTGAATTTTAGATCAACTGTTTTTAGAAAATGGACGAAGTGCGACGAACACTCCTGAGATTATTTATCTCTTGCAAAATAATTAACCTCATAAACATTGACTATTTCAAGTTTATTTTCTATGGATAAGATATTATTATTTTTATAGTTGTTTTTTTTATTATTCCTATGTATGTTGTTGTTTTATTATTATTCCAAACTCGCCTTTTAATTGTCAATGCACATTAGTACAGTCAACTGGTGAAATTTCAGGCACGTGACTTGTCAACTTGTGACTTAAGGTGACGGGCCCAGTGGCTGTACCCATTTAAAGCTCTGAGTAGCACTGCAACGCTTACCATCAGGCGCACGACTTGTTCGTCTCGCCACTTGATATCATAAAAAAACTTATTGTTAAACAGATAAAAACGATTATAAGTAAATTTGTAATATTATTTTGTGCCATTATAATCATCAAAACTCTTATATGTATCACCGTTGGTCACGTATCTCCTGTAACGAGAGGATCTTCATGATTAACAATTTAGTTTTAATATTTCCAAAAAAATAAATTTCGTTTTTATAAAACATATGAAATAAAAATATTTCAAGTTAAAAATATAAAAGAATTATTGATTTTAAAGGGTATCTCTGGGCGTAGGCTTCCTTCTTCCTGTGCCACCCGTCATCAACGATGAGAATCAAACCAAAGAAGGATGGCGACATTCCGAGCATTTTGTGACCCAGTGTTTTTGATGATGTGCTTTAAAGAGGCCTATCAATACTTGTGATACATTTTTGATACATCACAGCACGAAAAAAGCTAATTGAGTACAGCCTATAGAAGCTGGGGTTATAAAGTTGATACAGGTTATGTTACAACATTATCCTGTATTTCGTTTCACATGTTTGTTCATAGTAGACAGAAAACAATAAGTTTTCAGTTTGTTCCCAAAAATAATAAAGAACTTGCTGAATGTTCCCAAATCTGCAAAACTCTGCTACATTTAAGTAATACAACGTTAACATGTTCTGCCGCAATGAAAATGAATGAAAATTAAATCTGCCCAAATGGCAGAAATTTGCCAGAAATGGTCACACTGTTCTCAATTACAATGTGACATTAACATAACATTTCGCTGCCTCACATGGCTTATTGTACAATACCGATAAGTCACAGTTCATGGTCTTTAAGGCTGGTAATAAATGTCCCAACATTGTACCCCCTATAAGTCTCTATAACGAACCTTTAGAAAGAGTTTATAAATTTAAATACCTTGGACATATTGTTACTGACAGCCTTAGGGACGATGAAGACATTGATAGGGAACGTAGGGCACTGTCGGTTAGGGCGAATATGTTGGTACATAGGTTTAGTAGCTGCATGGATACAGTTAAAATTACACTTTTTAAAGCATACTGTACATCATTCTACGCGTGCAGCTTATGGACCAACTATACCAAAAAGGCCTACAGTGCCCTGCGTGTCCAATATAATAACGCCTTCAGGGCGCTGTTGCGGCTGCCGCGCTTTTGTAGCGCTTCTGCGATGTTTGCGTGGGCGGGCGTAGACAGCTTTGAAGCTATCATGCGCAAAAAAAGCGCATCAATATTATACAGAGTGCGTGGCAGCAGCCACAGCGTGCTGAGGGAGATGGCTGACAGTGGGGACTGTCCACTGATCGGCCACTTGCTGAGAAGGACGAGGTCACTTTTAGAAATAAAATACTAACATACTCACTAAGTTTGTACTAACAATTTATGGATCACGGTTGTCTGAAATAAATACTTTTTTTTTTTTTTTTTTTAATTTATTTATTTATTAACATTGGCAAGAGGCCTCTTGTCAAAACGTTCCTTTGCTAACTTTCAAACGACGGAGCCATAGATACAAAAGTTGAAGTTGATAACTCTCATTTAAATATTGTCTAAACATTTTTGTCATATTGTGTTTTATTTTTTACTTTATGTCATTACTGTTGATTACTTTAATTGATTATTCGATTAGGTATTAATGTATTATGTGTGTAAAAGAACTAATGAAGTGTAAAATAACTAATCCTTTAGGTAAGGTATGGAAAGGTAAGGAATGTTTACATTCAATTCAATTTCCTTATCGTGTCCATGAGAATCAAATTCAAATTCAGAATTATTTATTGTTCCTTCCACCTTAATAAAACATTCCACAGGGTAATTGATGTAAAGAACATCGTACAGTGAAATTGCGAGGTGGAAGGCTGGTGCCTAAGCCGGAAATATCTAGGCATTTTGTATGCGATTCTAGACAAATTAGACTGTGTCCGGCTTTTTATATTTGACAAGTCACGTGGTTGTTCGGATGGTTTCGACGCAATAATGGATGATTAATAATAAAGACGACTGATTAATTCAATTTTATTGTTATTTTATTATAACTTAAAAAGATTTTATGATAAATTACATTTTACATTAAAAATATTAAAACTACGACACAAAATCCTTAAACATGTAGGGTGTCCAACCCTTTTTTTCCTTTTTACCTAAATGTCCGGCTCAACTGGCTTATCTATCCAGCTGTTCGGGTTTATGACCTGGCAACCATAGTCACAACAAAATCAAAACAAGAACAAAGATATCGTCATGTATATGGCTACAGAACAATAAATACAGTGTATAGCAGCGCGAGTTACATTAGGTAGGTAGTTACATTCTTGTCATGTCGATGTGACCAGAATAATGATTGAAAATTCATATTGCCCTGGCAAGGTCGCTTGATACAATTTTTAGGTACGAACTATGTGATAGGAAATTTTTTTGCTAAAATTGTAACTCGTTGTACTCGCATTACAGTTTGTAACCATAGTCAGTAACTTTCTTGTTGTAACACATTTTTAACTACTGGCTTATTATTATACTTATTAGGTAAGGTTAGGTAGTATTACTATGTTATTGCAGTATTATTCATTCCACATTTCTGTTAGTTTATTTTACATTTTGATTTTAATTATAGTTTCATTTCACAACATTGGCTTCCCAATCTTCTTCCTTTGTTATCCCCACAGCTTCTTTCGATGCTTCCCAAAGCCTTCTAGTTAAATCTTTATCATTCACTAACCAATGATTTATCCATTTAAAGCAGAACTTGTAGTGCATACCACTTACTCTTTCTAATTCCGGTGCAGCTGCCAAATACGCTATTTGCTTTCCTACTTCCTCTCTCCGCAGACCCAATATATCAACAAAGGTCTTCGATATGTCTCTAAGAATAGACGGTATGTTATTGAATAAATCAGTATCGCGAACAATAAAAGGATCGAAACTGTTTGAGGTTACTCCTGTCCCTTTCACTCGACGATCCAATTCCACACTGAACAAGGTAACTGCTAGTTTACAATTTGCCACTGATGTTACCAAGTTATATCTTCCAATATCATTCCAATGATCGAACTCTAATTCTCCGATGTACATAGCTGACGCGCTACCGTTGATTATTCTACTTGGTGCTGAAGATTTCAGTAAAGGCAGCAATAGATATGTAAGTAAAAACGTACCAAAATAATTCACTTGCATTATTAGATTTAGTCCATCTTCAGTTAGTTTATCGGGTAAACCAATAGCTCCTGCAGTATTTACAAGGATATCCAGTCTGCGCTCTGATGTCATAACGTCAGTTGCAAAATTTCGCACAGATTTCAGAGATCCCAAATCAAGCATTCTGTAAGCAATTTGATTGTTCCCAGAGATTTCCTCTATTTCATCTCTGGCAGCTTTCAATTTGGTCTCGTTTCTGCTAGCAATGATCACTTTGGCACCACGTTTGGCTAAATTTTTGGCAGCTTCAAATCCCATTCCTGCACTTCCACCGGTTACTACAGCAACTTTGCCTTTTAGATTAGCTTCTGTTTCACACATTTTATGTTTTACAAGTTATATGGTTATTTTCAATAAATACGAATAAACAGAGGTCCGGCCAGACTAATACAAATTTTCAGAAAATTTGTGGATATCTTGGTAACCAAATAATTTGGTTCATTAGGTTGTATGGAAGTTTGAATGAAGACGACAACATAAAACGATGTCATTCGATGAACTGGATACAAAAGGAAATACAATATTATTAAAAGGTACTCAACAACCCGGTTCTTATTATTTACCTTGACAAAAAGGATTTGCGGCACTACCATTGTCTCTCGGAACGAAATACTCGATTGAGAATTATATTGCGAGAAGCAAAACGAGTTCAAATTCAATCTGACGTTTGGAGAATACGCGAGTCTTTTAACTGTACTCGTCGACAATATACTCATTTTGATAAAATATATATCTTATGTGCATTTTTGAGTTCCCTAACAACGATAGCTTACAAGAATAACTATATCACGTTTATGTAGTGAACTCATTGAAAATACTGTAGTTTTCAAATGCTTATTTAAATTAATTACCACATAACATGTTTGGAATCACGGTACCAACGGTCTCAATTTCCTGGAACTGCTACATGATAAAATATTTTTTATACTTGTAGAAAGAAGCCAAAAACTCAATAGTAATCATAAAATTATTTTGTTGTTAGATTCATATTACAAGTTTTTCTGGTAATAATTAAAATAGTTGAAAAATAAAGATGCAATCAACTAGACTTAAGTTGTACAAACGCAATTTGTTTTAATTGCTGAACGCTATGTATTGCAATGACGTATATTACCTATTAATTTGTACTTTTTTGTATCTCTAGCTGTGTTTCAAAACATGAAGTAATTATACAACAATAGAAATAAAAACACTGTAATATACATAACGTCACATACATATATATTTCACAATAATATATACCAGAGCAACGGATTTTACTCTAAGGCATTACCTAAAACACCCATACCAGAATTAGTTTAGAAAAGTTCTTTTTTCGAAATTGGTTCTATTCGATTGGAGCCCAAACGCCCACAGTGCAAGCCATTGGGCTACCGAGGTTTTTTTTATAACATCAAGTGACGGGACGAACAAGTCTGTCCATAACAGTTACAGTGCCACTCAGAGCTTTAAATTGCAAAGATCTGAGGGGCACTACCACTGCGCCTGTCACCCTGAGACGTAAGTTGACAAGTCCCATGTGCCTGTAATTGACCAGCACCCTTACCCTTCAAAACCGGAACACAGTTATGCTGACGTTACTACTTGGCGGCAGAAATAGGTAACGTTAGTACTACCCTGGACGAACTCTTTCACAAGGAGCTTTACTGCTACTCAATTCTAGGGTCCTCAAAATTAACATAATATATTGACGTGTTCACCAGTGTAGATTTACACGTATACTTAAACAGTAAATCCTTAAAATGTATGACATAAAGTGCAATTTTCAGAACTCCAACTTGCGTCGTGCATGACGAACCATATTCACACAGACCACATATATTCATAATATTTATTAGAATTCTTTATTCGATTGGCTTTTCTTCAAATCCTATTAGAGGAATCTTAATAGTATTATATGCAATCGTTGCATATTGAGTGTTCTTAAAGACGAGTGCCTACCGTGTTTAAGCACGAGGTTTTGTCGAGTGGCGTAAGTATTAGGTACGAGATTTTAAAACCTAATTATGTAATTGAATACAATATTTTTTCTACGAGTAAATTAAATTAATGAAACACTACGAATATTTAATGTATAATATTCTGTTAACAATCCACGACAACAAAATCAAACGAAAGCCAAACAAAATGATGCTTTGTATGTTACTTTACAAAATGTTGCTCTGTTGTTTGGATGTTACTTTATTATCTAGTTTATTATGTTGTTGTATTTGAATGTAATTGAACAGTAACTTACTTGATGAATTCTTGCTTATGATTATGGAACTCCAGGTCTATTTGTTCTAATCGATGTTTTTGTATCATTTACCTGTTTTATGATTGTTTGTTTCCATTGAATAATAATAAAAAAAGCTACAAAACAAAAAACCAAAGAGATAAAATAGAAGTGTACGAAGTGAACTCATATTTTTAACCAATAGCGTCATATTTCGACTGTTGCTACATACAGTGTCGAAACTACAAAATGCATACTTTACAGTAGACCAGTTTGAAATTATTTTGACTTAGAATAATATGTTTTAATAGTGTCGTGAAAGTGACACCCAATTATGATAGCTAATTTTATGTGTTTTTCTTAGGCCTTAGCATGATTTAAATTTTTTTATGTATTATTCTAGATATTACATATTCAATAGTTTACCTTGTTAGAATTTGCTAGAAATTAATCGAAAGTGGTCGATTCGTTAGTATTCAGGGCTTGTAAAATTTTAACAAATATTGAATCTACCAGTTTCGGTACTTTTCATTGACAACTTTTATAGAATCAATAAAAGTTTAACACTTTCGATTATTTGTACCAAGTAATTGACGGTCTAAAAGAGAAGAGAATACCAAAATCAAACACTGATTTTATAATATACTGACGTACATTTATTACTTATGAATTAAATATTTTTTTGTATGGAATTCGTTACGAGTAACATAGACAAATTAAATAATCTTTTAACTTTAATATCTTAAATGAACTTTTGTACCGTAGCATGAGTTTTTTGAGTCTTTTTGATGTAAATATTTTTTTTTACTTTGTAACATAAAATCGAAAAAATAAGTAACATGACAAGTTTCAGTCATGTTATTTTTTACATATAATATCAAGTGACGGGGCGAACAAGTTGTGCGCCTGATGTTAAGTTACACGCCTATTCATAACAGTTGCAGTGTCACTCAGAGCTTTAAATCGCAAAGATCTGAGGGCCACTGCTACTGCGCCTGTCACCCTTAGCCATAATTTGACAAGTCCCATGTGCCTGTGATTTCACTAGAACCCTTACCCTTCAAAACCGGAACGCAATAATGCTCACATTACTACTTGGCGGCACAAATAGTAAAAGGTAATTCTTTCACAAGGAGCTCTATTGCTGCTAATTGTTACTTACTTATTAGTGAAACAATAAGGCATCTATCGACTTAGGTTTTCGCGATTGTTACATTTAGGAAATGAAACTATTTTTTTTTCGGATCTAAATCGCCTGTATTTGTTTTTTGAAACAAACCTACGTTTCGGGTCCTTTACAAGTCCCATAGTCACGACTGACGTCACTTTCCGAACCTGTAAAGGGCTCGAAACGTTGGTTTGTTTGAAAACATAAATATACGCGAATTAGATCCGAAAAAAAAATAGTTTAATGTCCTAATAAGATATTTATTACATAAAATTACTTTGTCAATAATCTTTTACATTATATAAATATCGCAAAAACCCGTGTTTGAACACGAAATCTTTGTGTGATGTCGATATTATATTTATTACTGGCATACATGTAAAGGCTGTATATCACTATTGCGATTTTGCCCAGTGCAGTTGTCGTTAATTATATTTTGTTCAACAAAATCTAATAAACAGCTACCGGTTGGTAGTTTGCGTCGTTTGCTCCAAGTTTGCCAATGTTGTGTGGTCCTCTAACCCCAGTGTCGCAAATAGTAAAATGTATCAGTGACAACATGCTTTTAAAATAAAAGGGAGAGACTTTACCGGAACGGCATTTGAGAAATTTTTGGAAATCGTATTTTGCGTACACTATTTTTGATGCAGTTTTAATTGCCATCACGTAAATCTTTCATAACTTGAGCTTTAGATTTTCGTGCGGTTTCCTTGTTTGAAATGTGGTTGCCATAAGTCAACACCTGCTTTTCAGTAGGGCTCCATCATCATCATCAACCTTTTTATACGACCCACTGCTGGGCATGGGTTTCCTCTCAGACAAAGACTTAGACCATAGTCATATTGCCTCTCAGGCAAAGGTCCAGACTATAGACCAATACGGTTAGGGACTTCACACGTTTTCCGAATTTTGTGAACCTTCTTCGTCGTGCAGGTTTCATTACGATGTTTTTCCTTAAACCGGAATGCTCATGGTAAATTTCGAAAGAAATTTCGCACATAAATTCTGAAAAACTCAAAGATGCGAGTCGGGATTCGAACCCACGGCCTCTGGTTGAGAGGTGGTAAGTCAAACTATTAGGCTACTAAACGCTGTGGAAATCATTTATTATACCATCACATATCTTGTCACTCCCTGTAGACCAAGCGGAAACTCAGAGTACACTTACATTCAGAGTTAAACAATTAAAAAAATCGAATCTGCCAATTTGCGAAGTATCTAGCGTAGAACAACTACTGGTAGACTCGATAGATGTTTTCCATAGAAAACTTTCGATAGCTCTAAGACTAGAAATAAACACGTATACTATCGAAAGCGCCAGTTACAACTTTGTCGCAATTACATACACCTAGAACACTATCGAATCTCCTCTTTTCGATAGTCTTTCTTGTCCGACCAGCCATCTGGTCACTTGAATAAGAAAAGACACAAAGATCTAATTATTTAAAAAATATTTAAGAACTAGTTACGTAAGCGATATTTTAGATAATTTTTTTTTGCTATTATGAAGGGATGTAACAAAATTGTAAAAAATTTTTACGTTGGACGTGACGGTTTCACCGTGACGTTGTTGTTTATGTTTTATAACGAAATTAACCATACATCTACCTTGGCTATTCTTTTTTAAACTCTGATTTTAAAAAACAAAGAGCCAAACAAAAAAAGTAACTAAAACAGGCTAAAAGTAAACGAAACACTCACTCTCTCACATCGCATCGCGGCAAATACTGACGATTCGGTCAGTTACGAGCTGTTTGCGCACGCCGTTGCTTTTGAACAGTATAGATTGTACCTTATTCGATAATGTTTGTCGCTCATAAAGTGAAGTACCGATAGTATTCAATCTAAAACTTCCCTTAATATGATTTTTTTGACCAAACTGTATATTTTTCTAATAGTATATAATATACTCTTACAATTGATGCAATAAAAAAAATTAGGTTTTGCAGTTTCGATACTGTTTGTTGCGGCAGTCGGTTTGATATTTTATATTGTTTTTAAATAGTTCTTTTTGCCAAATGGGCACGCTTTTTATCTGTTAAGTAACATTTTGAGATCAATAAAATAATTTGAATTTTAATAATTTTGCAAATCACTATACTTTATTCTGTTCAAGAACATAGTGATACGTTTAAGGCTTAGTTTCTTTATTTTTTCCCATCCTCTAAGGTTTAAGGAGACTCTTTTAATTAGCAGAAATACGATGTTCTTTTTTTGAAACTCATTTAATTCTGTGTACAGATTTTTTTACATTTTTACTCGATATATTCACTGACACAGGGTTGATCGCCATAATTTTTATATTAATATTAATTATAAAACTGACACAGTGGCCGTTAATAGGCCTTAAGGACATAATAATAATACAGAAATGTTTCAGTTCAGTGTGGTTTAGTCGTCTACGTTCAGTAGCGAGTACCATAGAGAATAAAATTTGTACTTTTAGATATATTTATTATGATAGATTTATTATGCTTTATGAAATTATAATTGACAAATTAAAGCACAAGATTAGAACCAAGTAGAAGGAAATAAATTACTAAGTTGGAATCCATAAAGGATGAAAATAGTCTTTGGACCGAAACACAAAACTGCAATGCGACGTCGCATCATAGAAATCAACGCATCGCAGAATTTGCGAATTGCTCCGCATTCCTGCGGTGTTAATCTTCTTTGTTTTTTCCAGCTTTTATAATTTGTGATTTCAGCGCAAAAGAGAGTTGATATTTAAAAGAGATACCTCCCATTTGCCTTATGAGTTGCTAGGGATGGATGGCCCTTATTTCGTCTCCAGGCTTTGACAAGCCCACAGAGAGTTATGAACTTTATTATACGACAAACCTCTTTAGTCTTTACGTCACTCATAGATGGTCTTTGTTTTTAGAATATTATATGTTGTATTGAACATTATTGTACGTTTTGTTATATTTCTTATATTTTAGTACAGTTTTCTTCGTTTTGATATATTTTACCTTGTGGAAAGTGATTCACAAGAAAATCCAAAATGCCACTGATAGACATAACGAAACCCGAGGTTATTAAATTCCTTATAGAATCATATGAAAAGACAGATAGGCTGCGGATGAGATGGAATAATCTTTTTCAACAAAAATTACAACAGACTTCCGAGTTCCGTACCGATCCTAAAGGTTACTTCGAAATTGACGTGTTGGAAAAAGAAATGATTGCTGGTATGCTAGCTACTACAAGAGATCACATATCTTCCAAACGGAACAGGAGACTAAAGCTAAAGACTGATGTTGATCAAGTGCTTGGTATTTCGTATTTGAAAAAAGGACACACTATTCCTGAAGTCGGTCTCGGCGATCCAAAAGATGATCCAAGGTTGGAACGCCCTGATGATGATTTCTCCGAAGATCCTATTATGCGACCAGTTGATCCTGAACAAAATGCGATACTTCACAAAGGCATACCCGAGTTTGGCCGGGAACGTTACTTGAAGGTTAGAAGTAAGGCGGATCCGGAAAAAAAATACTATTTCCCTGAGTGTGATTCGTGGCAGTATGGATGGAGACTGACGGATAGCTACTTTGGCAAACAACAACCCATGTATGGACGCTGCTTTCGGCTCACTCGCGATACAATGAGTAATAGTGGTCCTCAACCTGACCCAGATCATTACAACGTGCCAATGTAAAGGACCACAGAATTGCATATAAACATATTTTAGATGTCAACTGTTGAAAGATAAGAGGAGGCTTAGCAACATTTAGGTTGAACATTATTTGATGATTGCTTAGAGCAAGCAAGCTCTTGTACTTTTCAACCATCAAATTTTTTTACATTCTGGTACTTTCAAGTAAAATAATATAATGTTTAAAATATATGTAGTGCCTACTTGGTGTATTTCCTTTTATTTCTTTTATAATATGCACAGGTACCGATATGACTCGCATCGCATCAGTAAGCTTAAATGGCAAAGGGGCCGGATATGCCTGCAAGAGGGCTGATGACCGATGGAGCAAATTTGTTCTAGAGTGGCGACTACGTCAAGGCAAACGTAGTGTAGGACGCCTTGCAGCAAGATGGGCGGAGGATCTCAAAAAAGTGGCCGGCAGCTGGATACGGACGGCACAGGACCTGGAGAGTTGACGTGCTGATTACCTGGTCTCAAACTAGGAAATTGCCTGTACTATGAGTATCCGTATTCCGTTCGAAACAATTAGGTTGAACACACACTGGCGCAGAGTCGAAGCGTCGACACTCGTATTAGCGCGCCCGGATCACAGTGTGGTCGGCGTCTGACGCGTCACTGCGCGCAAGTAACGCAACGTGACGCGGCGAAGCGCGAAACCGCTCGACTTTAACCAAGTGTCGACACGCGAAGCCTCACGTCGTCGCTTTCGATTCCATATTTGGAAAAATAGAAATGAATATGCCATAGGCGAAAAACATGACGCGTCGCGACGCTTTGACTCTGCGCCAGTGTGAGTTGAGCCTTAGAGCGCGTTTATTCGACACGAATTTCAACGCTCTATTTATTTAGTTTTTATGTTTAACTTAAAAGAGCGTCACGGGCGCACGAACGAGGCTGGCTTGTCAATGGTCTACGCGGCAGCCGCGCGGTTGTATTGTTCCGAGGAATTTCAATGTTGGTGCCTAGTAAATAGAATTCAGATTCGCCAGTAATGTACGTGAAAGCGTGGTAACTGGGCGGTCACCGCGCGGCGGCCGCCGACCGCCGAAATAACTAATATAATCAGTAGGCCGCTGATGGCCTTGACTGCGCCGCTGATGGCCTTGAAGGCTCATAGCCGGCAAATAAGTAAAACTCGATCAAAATGAACAACAATGTGAAGTATGAAGCTTCAATCGCATCATGCATCTTATAATTTGGTCGAGTATTACTTAGGGCGCGTTCCCACTATGTCGTGACGACAGATTGTCGTGCAGTTTACAGTGTCGTGGCTTGTATATTTAAATGAAGTTGTTCACATTAAGCACGACACGATTAATTGTCGTTCACGATTTTTTATCGTTACAACGACAAACTGTCGTCACAGTGGGAACAGCTAGAACGACACGACAGTCGTCAGACGATAAAAAACGTCACGATAAAAACGTGACGACAGATTGTCGCAGCTCCTAAGGTCGTCACGATCTAGGGGGAACAGCTAGTCACGACAGTCGTTCAACGATAAAAAATCGTCCGCGACAGATTGTCGTGATATGGGAACAGGCTAGACATGACAGTCGTCCAACGATAATAAAACGTGACGACATAGTGGGAACGCGCCCTTATTTGACAGTTAGTGCCCAGTTACACGATGTCCCCGGGTTATGAGCCTTCAAGGCCATCAGCGGCGTAGTCAAGGCCGTCAGCGGCCAACTGCAAAATGTTATAAAAAAAATACAAAAAAAAGTTAAACGATGTCGGACGGAAAACGAAAGTACAGAGCAGTGTTGTTTAGACTTTTTTGAGAGTAGATTTCACATACTAGACAAAAAGATACACACATACGTGTTCCACTATTTGATTTGTAAAACGAATTACCTATATAAGAAACATTTTATATAATTAGTCTTACGTCACCAAGTCTTAAAATCAATACTTATTTAAAAATCAAGATATGATTAATAGACCCAAGTAATATGATTTTCTATGCCAACATTGTTAAAACAAAATACCATAATTCATTTTCAAGTAAGTTTTTTGTACTCAATTTTGATGACAATTTTTATTATTTAATTAGTCGAATATACCATTGTGTAATATCAAAGAATATTTCAGGTTACCACACTCGAATATTAAATAATACTTCATGATGATGTTCTAGAAATATTTAAATAAAAAGAAATTGTCACCAAAATTGAGTACAAAAAACTTGCCTGAAAATTACCCTTACCTGATCCTCAATCTGACCAACGGGAAACACTTTTATTTTTGGTGTTGGCAAAATGCTTCAAGGTATGTACCTACATAATAAACAACTGAAATTAAGTAAATTGTCTGTTTTGGTAGGCAGATTTGTTCTGTAAATTTATGTCACACGTGGTATCAAGATGGTATGATATTTTGTATGTCTGTAATGTATTGAATTGATCAGTCCACACAGTTATGTTTCCATGCGTGTTGATAAAGTCGCTTGGTTTTTAAATGTTTTCCAAATCAACAAAATAAAATGTGTTTTTCCCCAAGTTAACAAGGCCCTGACCAAAAATTATACATGTTATTATGCAATTTTTAGAGCAAGGTTTGGCCCTTGTAACATTTTTCATATATCTATGCGTGTAACAAAGATGGTTGACAATTGTCATTAGGGCCTCAAAAAACAAAACTTCCTTGATTTCATTATAATTTATTGTGAATTAGCATTTTTAATAAGATCAGCTGCCTTCTCGGCCATAGCAACAAGTACAGAGTTGGGGTACAGTGATAGCGGTGATGGTAATACACTGGCATCCATGATTCGTACTCCTGATATTGACTTCACTCTGAAAAATAAAAATCTGTTGGAAAGATGAAAGAAGAACACAAAAACATAGACAACATAAGACAAACATAAGACATTACCTATTAACACTTTGTTTTACTGTTCGGAAAGTTACTTATCAGTTGGTGTATTACAATTACACAGTCGCGTTAGGACATACTTTCCTCGTTAAGTCAAACATCGAAATCAAATGATAAAGTCGCGAAACAAGATTTGTCCCTGGCACTTGTCGCGAGATATCTGTTTTCTAACGAATAAGTACGTGGCTTTAAGCGCGTCCGAGAATCGAATTCGAGACTATATAAATCTAGAAAACTCGTATCCACTTCCTATGTCAGTCCGATTCAAATCCGAGAAAATACGAGTACCGCTAGTACACCTGGAAATTATCCCTGTGACATTTCGGACCGTCGTCCTTCGGATTCGGAACTGGGGGTCGATTCAGAACCTTACGATAACACAGTTGTCGACCAATTTCTTTTCATTTTTATTCACAACACTCGAATCGAACGTCAAACTGTCGTATTCGAAACCGAACCGAAATGACGTCACATCCGTACGATTACTCTAACTTCTCGACCGGCAAAGGCTACAAACGTTATTCAGAACACAGTTATCGAATGAAACTTAGCGAACGTCCTATTTTAACGCTTCTTATTTTAAATAAACTCTGGATTTTGTTCAGTTTTATTAATTTATTTTAGACTAATACATACATATATTTTAGGCCAAAATGTATATAAACGGATTTTAATTTTTCTTATAATCTTTTCACCGACTAACTCTGTAAACGCTGTTGGATAACGATATTGTATCCGAATCCGAATCGAACGTTTAACTCGGAATGTTCCGAATAGTTCGGAAAGCGCCCTTCCATTCGAGAACAATAACGATACCTCCTGATAAGAATCGGTCATAACGCGCAAGATGGCTCGCGACGATGCGTAAAGACGTTAAACGTACTTACTTAAGCTGAGCATCCACCACTGTACCACCTGCACAGGTTCCACCAACATGATGTCCAATTACGGCCACCTCTCTTACCAGGCACTCCAAGAATTCATCTGGAGGACTTTTCAGGACTTGAGGTTTTTCAGGAGATATGTCTTTGAGTTTTGGTTCTTTTGTTTTTAGAGTTATACCTTGAGGCTTGAGCCTGAAATGTAGAAAAGGTTATAATAGATTAAAATTCGACCGGATTTTAATTTCGATCGTTATTTCAACTGATATGAGTATGAGTCTCTCTATTGTTATGGTTCGTTTTTGCCAGAGCTTTATCTTCAGACTATACCGTTCACGTTTGAAGTTTTCACACATCTTACACAAATTTCTAAACTTTATCTCACATACAAGTTTCCTCATGATTTCGGTAATATATTAAATGTAAACGGTTTGAAATTTTCACTTTTTTCTTCGTCTCGCAACAAATCCAGTCTGATCCTCCTTTGTGTAGTTCCAGAAAGTCATACACCGCTCGGGTCTAGGCCAGTGGATTCGCGCTCCAATGTCTTGAAATGGCTTCGTTAATGTCAATTTTTCAACGCGACGTAATGCTGGAATATTACAAATTCAATTTTTTTTACGATACCGAGTCAAAGGACGAATAAGTCGAGCGCCTGGTAGTAAGCACACGCCTGTCCATAACAGTTGCAGTGCCGTCCAGAATTTTAAATCGCAAAGATTTGAGGGGCATTGCCACTACGCCCGTCACCCTAAGACATAAGTTTACAAGGCCCATGTGTCTGTAATTTCACCAACACCCTTCAAAACAGGAACACAGTAATACATTACCGCTTGGCGACAGAAATAGCTTACCTATTTCTGTAGGACTGTAGTTCGATTTTATATTTCCGAAACGAAATAATAAATACCTAAAAAATCTGAAGACACCTTTACATAGGCCTTTTGAATAACGAGATTATGTTTTAACCTCTTTTCGCTGTATAATAACATCGCACTTTGTTCTCCGCATGAGTCGAAACTTATTCGTAACACAATGAAGATAACAATTTGCATTTGAAATTAGTAAAATTTGTCTATTGCCACAAAAAATAAATCTGGTCTAGCGGTGTATCTTTCTGATTGGCCATCATTACCTTTTTCGGTTGATGTTTCATTGTAGGTATATATATGAACTTTCTGTTACAAAATTTTCCGAAAATTAAAAGCTACGATCTCATGAAAAGGCGTACCCTTAAGGTTTTACGTGGGGCGCACTATAAGTTTCCGGAATGAATAAGAAAAAAAATACTATAAATGGTCAGAAATGAATTTATTGTTTCTCAAAATATTCTCCGTTAGCGTTAATGCACTTTTTCATACGAATAAACCAATTTTGAAAACATTTATGCCACTCCTCCGTGACAATCTCTGAAACATATTTTTCATACTATTCGACAGCCTCTTCAGGTGATAAAAGTTGTTGACCACGTAACTGGTGCCAGGTCGGGATTATACGCGGGATGGCTCATAAGGTCAACGTTGTTCACCATCAAAAATTAATTTGTCTGTCTGGCCATCTAAGAATTGGCATTATCGTAGTGCAAGATGATACGGCGTTTACGGTTATTTTTACGGAGTTTGTCAATAACTTCCGGCAAACAAATGGTCGTGTACCAATCACTGTTCACGGTTGAACGATTCTCCAAAGCAACAGTAGCTACGTGTCCAGTTTTATTAAAAAAAGAAGCAACCATCCGCTTAGAGGCACTTTTCACGCGCGCCACTTTGGTTGGTTTCGGCTCATCTCGAAAGATCCATACGCTCGACTGCTGCTTTGTTCGGGATCGAAACTATAAATCCATCAAGCATCTACCAAGACCTATTTCAAGCCCCTGAGGAAGATTTCTCAGTTCCTGAGACTCGTGAAATGTAACACCCCCTTACAGGATGCAGGAGTTTACAAGCTTGACTGTGAGTGCGGTCTTTCTTATATTGGACAAACAAAACGAAGTATTTGTACCCGCGTCAAAGAACATATAGCTGATGTCAAACACCGTCATGTAAACAAGTCTGCAGTCTGCAAGCATGTCATGGATAAACATACACATTCAATGAAGTTTGACAAACCCCAGGTCCTTGCAAAAGAAGTCCGTTATCTACCCAGGATGCTGCGAGAGGCCATTGAAATTAAAAAACATCCTAATTTCAATGGGGAAGATGGTTTCTCCGTACCACCAGTTTGGGATCAAGTATTTCCTCTAATGAAAAATCCTAAACAGACATAAGACTGCAGTACTAATTAATATGTTTTATTTATTCTAATTTCTATTATTAATTAATAATAAATTGAACTTAATAAAAATTGATTCAATAAAATAATTTGTAAAACTTAATGTAGCGTAAATTGGAATGTTTTCTTTGTAAAATTAAAAGTAAGGTATTTAATTAATAACTATTGTAACTATAGTGAAAAAATAGGGTGGTTTGCATCAATATTAGACTTAACTGGTTGAAAACTGTACCACCTCAGTCAACCGTGAAACCGTGGTTTTGTGTGTAAAAACAAACATACGCGATTTAAATTCGGAAAAACAGTTTCATTTCCTATAAATCCACGTTTCGTCACCTATTACTATATCCCACACCACGTTTGATGCTCCTTCGTTGAATCTGGTAAGCATGGCATTGCACCAAGTGACGCGATCCGTTTTTTGAGCATCAGTCACATTGTGTGGGATCCACCGAGAGCACAGCTTTTTCACACTCAAATGTTTGTGTAGTATTGATTGTATTTGACTCATGCCTATGCCTAAAGATGCCCGAATCTCATAGTATGTCATATGCCTGTCTGTTTTGGTCATACGGCGCACAGCATCGATGTTTTTGTTGTTCACAGCAGTGGACGAGCAACCATCACGAAATTCGTCACTGAGATTCACACGACCGCGTTTGAATTCCGTAAACCAGCTATAAATAGTCGTTTTGCATACTGCTTCATCGCCAACAGCAGTTTGAAGCCGAGCGAAGCTCCGCTGAGCTGTTACATTCCACTTAAAGTCGTAGAAAATCATACTACGAAAATTTTCACGAGATAAATTCATAGTGATGTAGAGAACCAATTTCTAAAATGACGCTACAATGTAAAACCAAGTGACAGTCAGATGAAACACTGTATTCTACAGCCCAAGAGTTCCATTTTCAAATGTTGTAATTACTTTTTAAATATTGTTTATGTAAGTGGCCAGTTCTGTAAACTTATAGTGCGCCCTATGTACGTAACTTCAGAATGATAGTGTCTTATTGCCGTGTATTATCAAAATATAGATGAACCACCGGTGAGAAAGCTGGCGGTAGATACTTTTAAATCGAGTAGATGACAAATCTTGACAAACCTTTAATCATACACCGTACATCCCAACCGTGATGCAAATAATTCGGGTCAACGACAGGCGGTATAGACGTGCTGGAGTCTCTCAACGTGACGGAACCTCTGCTTTTCGGTTGAACACAAGTGGATAGAAACATGAAGCCTTCTTTCGACGTGTCATTATGGAACGGGAATGTGTCGCGGTATACCTGAACGTTTCATTAAAAAAATGTTAAATACCACACACGACATTAGGACAAAACTTCTTTAGTAGGTAACAATAAAATGATAAATATTATAATCGGGGATAGCGCAAATCCGCGTATGTAGCACTAGCACAAGACGCGTATCTGCACAAACCAAATTTTTACAGGAGAGGGATTTAACGTTGTTACTTTATTCATAGTTACAACTTTCATTTTTGTACTGTAAGCATTAATTTATGTTATCTACGGACTTATAACAATAGATTCCCGTAAATCACGCTAATTTGGTTGCCACGACATATACGCGGACTTGATTTGTGCGACTAAATTAACAAAATGGAGACTCATGATCAAATGCTAGTTACGCGTAATTGCACAATCCCCGACGCTATGCTTTCCATTCATCCATTTGCAATTTGTGCGGATTTGGGATCATCCTTTACTATTTTACCTTTGGCATATAGTTGGACAATTCTCTGAGAAGTCTCTCACTCGTAGTCCCCATTGCAAACAACATTACCGCTGAAGAATTTTGGTACTCCACACCAGCTACTGGTGGGAATGATAAAATCCCTGAGAGAGAAAGAAGATATTAAATTCAATATGAATCATCTTAAATGACTTGGCTACATTAAGTTAAATTCAAAAAATATATATATTTATAGGAATGAAACTATTTTTCCGGATTTAAATCGCGTATATTTGTTTTTTCAAACAAACCGACGTTTCGGGCCCTTTACAGGTCCCATGGTCACGGTTGACTATGAACTCGATATATATATATTTAACTAAAGGGATCATGTTAATACCTTTTCCGTTCCGGAAAAAATCCCAAACGCTGCCAAAAGCAAACACCTTGGACAATGTAACACTGATAGGTTTCTTAATGCTTATAAAAACAGGAATGTTCATGTGATCGTGGAGATTTTTGCCGATATGATCGTTGGGTGCAATTATATTTATTCTTAATCTGTAAATAATTCGTAATTCTAAATTAGAATGTACCTACGTAATTTATGTTTTGCAAATAGGTTTCTATTAATGATTTGTATTCAATAGGAACTGATATCTTAGAAATCCTAGATACCTTTCCACCAACTCCTTCGGTCCAACACCTGACAGTATTAATAGCTGAGGAGTTTTAATAGCTCCTGCGGACAGTATGATCTCCTTGTTCACGAAAATGTTGTTCAGGTCACGATGGTTCTGCAGAATGTATAGCGACGATGCTGTTTTGTTTTCGAAACGGATCTGGAATTGAGAATGCATGAAACTATTTTATTTACAGCTAACTAGATGGCGCTAGTAATCTTACTGATAGAGATACATGTCAAAAGAGACCTATCGTATATTTAGTACGACGGGTTAGCCCAGGGTCTTTTTCTCACTCGTGTATTTTTGCAAAGTATCCGTGGTAAGACTACATATATATCTTATGACAAATTTTAGAGCCCTGTGTTTACCGCTGATTGACAGTGGCACAATAGATCATTTATTTTATTTTACCACAAACCGATGGTTGTAAATAGTTCCAGTTACATATAATATATAATATATAAAGTTTAATATAATATTTTATAAAAGACTAGGTGCCTGATAGGCATTAGTAATTGTATCTAAAGCGTATTAATGAGATATTTCTCTACTCACGGATATAGCCTGCGTTTTCAGTAAAACTTGTAAGTTTTTTCTCTTCAAAGCAGGTTTAAGATAAGCATCGAAGGTCCCTCGTCTCACGCCATCTTTTATAGTGGCTGTGGCTCTTCTAAATATCGTATACTTGTCTTTAAGAAGGTATGAAGCTTGTCTGAATGTATTCATTAGGTCGTCCTGCTCGTCGATTTGCTTTAACTTCATTGGCGCCTGATAAAAATTTTGTAGCAAATTGCCCAACATGCTAATACGTGATTTAGAAATTAGGAAAAACAATAAGTGAAATATCTTTTATTAATCTAAAAACAAATTTTTTTTTGTCATCGTCTTACCTTAGCAGCTGGGCAGTATCCATCGACAGCACAGTATTCAGAATCAAACTCACTTTTGGAAGTTCCAAAAGCTTTAATAAAGTACGGTCTTAAGTCCTTCCACGTCCAGCCTTTGAAGTCCTTTCTAGACCACCGCTCGTAGTCCTCGGGAACACCAAATCCGTGGAGTAGGAAATTGATCTGCCCTGAGCCTCCAAGCCCTTTGCCCCTGGGGATTATTTGGATCTGAAATCCGAACAATGATAAGTGTAAGATTGTTGAATGTAGGATTAAAGTCTCCTCAAAATTATCACGCATATTAGGCGGATTAGCCATTACAGGAAATGATATTACCTCTTAAGATGGCAATGAACACGCCGATCTTATGATAGTATGGTTTTATCCTTTAGTAGCATCGTATACCTACTAGACAAAGCCTCCTCAGTAGCCGAACGGTTACAGCATGGTAACCGTTAGGAGACTTTAATGCAGATGTCCCGGGTTCGATCCTCGGGAGAACTGTTTTTATGGCCTACATTTATTTCTCTTGTGAGTTTGGGTGGCATTTGTGGCTATGGTGTCCATGGCAACCCCGACACAGGGTTTCCCTAGTGCAGAGCTATCAGTGTGGGCGTTATTAAAAAAAGCATGATTTTTCAGGTACATTGTAATGTAAATAGCTATAATGCTAAAAAAGAATCTCAAAATTTGGTCTACGATACTTCAACGATAACATCAGAGATATCAAAGGTTATTGACGACCTCCGTGATCTAATGGCTTGCACACATTTCATCATGTCGCCATCTCTTAGGTCCCGGGTTCGATCCCCGGCTCTCGCCTTGAAAAAGGCCCAAGTTATAAAGTTTAGGGAACAAGTCTGTAGGCAGGCTACTCCACTCAGTAGCCGTTCGCCATATAAATGTGGAAGCGTAACGCTTCATACGAATCGTTGGAATATCCACGACATGGGAGTGCTACCCAAGCCTACACCTAGTCCCCCGGTGATGGAAAGGCGAAGGCGGAATTAAATCGTGTAATACCATCGCACGCTCTCCGTTTATGCTTTGTACTTTGTACTCTATAGTCTACTAGTTAAGGTGTACAATACTACCTATATAAATGTCAGATTAAAATTAGATTGCTTTGTAATATGAAAGAAAAAAAAACCCTTGTAATAATAAAGTTTGGTACTCAACCATTTACTACGAGCATTTTTAAATATTATGTACTAGAATTTTTTAAATTTCATTCGGAATGCTGTTGCATATCTTGACCGACATCACGTAAAAACTTTAGTGGTAAAATGCTGAGGTGTGATTGTCCGAGTAAATCATTGTATCCGTATATCTTTTATTTCTATGCTTCCTTTTGTTGGCGATTTCAAAATATGATGCATGTTTCTGGAAAAATCTGCCGAAGGTACATTAACTAACACGCGGCTGTTTGGCAAAATAATTTTTGAGATATCATATAAAAACCATAACTCAGTTTTTGAATATTGAAATTGTTTAAAGATATTTTAGCTAAGCATCGTTAGGGTAAGTTCCGATATAACCGACACGTTAACTAACTTTAACTGTTTTGAAATAGAGAATTTTGATCTCTATCTTATGGTATTTGAACGGATATTTGACCACAAGTCACTTAGCCGCGTTCTAATAGACGGCAGAAATACAGCAGCCTCCTTAATATACAGGCAGGGTAAAGGTACGGTTTTGCCCTTGTCGAAAAATGGCTTACACGAATCCATTTGAGACCCCCCGCAAATGATACGTACATAGCGTATTTTCATCTTCTAAACTCTACCGAGTTTCCCCAAGATATTACCCCGTAATTTCATAGACGCATTCTGTACTTATACTAATTTTCGAAATGGGTACATAAAACGAGACGGTCTGTTGCACAAGTTCTCAACATGGGCATTCCAATTGCAATTGCTGTCAAGGGTAAGACCCAGAAATTTTGTGAGTTTAATTTGTTCTATATTAACAAGATTGCCATTAAGTATTCTATATTATAATTACAAATGAAAAGCATTTTATTGTCGAGCACATAAGAATAGGTAACCTTACACACTTTTCTGCTTAAAATTTATATATTTTCTCGTATCAAAAACTTACCTGATCCCAAAGCCCAAAAGACGAAAATTTCTGCGATTTTGTCCTTACAGACCAGTCGTTGGGTCCTTGCTGTGCAGCAGTAGGCATCAGAGGGATCTTTGTAAAGTAGCCCATGTGGTCTCCGGCTTCAAGTAGCAGAACCTTTGTTTTGGGATTTTCTGAGAGTCTAGCTGCGAGGACGCAACCGGCTGTCCCAGCTCCCACTAAAAAAATTGAGATTATTAAGCAATTTATCAATTTTTTTATACAGAGTGGTATTGGAAGTATATCGTTCACTGCATGACCTATGTTACGGTACTACTTTCGATAGATCATCGTATCGCCACACGTATCCAATAACAGACAAGAGTTTACCAAATAAGAGATTGCCATTCAAATGTCACAGGCGCTTTAGAATGATACGATAGTTACATGAAGCTTATAAAAGCTTCTTGGATAGTTAATATACAAAGAGGTACTTACCAATAATATAATCATATCTTTTTTCAGGTTTCACAATGATGCTAGTGTAAGCATTAGCGTATTTTTGATACACCACATACGAAATGCATGCCACAATCAAACCAACAATGTATGAATACAGAGGCATTGTTGAAATTCTGTTAAAAGGACTATTCTACAACATATCCTTAGTGAAGGAAACAACGTAATGTTTCTTAATCGGGGTTCGTATCGTTTGAATTAAGTTCACTCTAATTGAATTAGGCAGGGGTTGGTAACATGAATTATTAAGGCCTGCTTCACAATACGTTAACACTAAGTAGGTCAGTTAATTTTCATTAAATTTGCTTATTTTAGTTATTATTTGAGTAAAGTATGACGTGAAGAGTATCAAATTAATTTCATTAGGAAAGCGTACTTATCTGTACAACAGAAAGTGAGTTAATCAATAATAATGCTTACTTACGTGAGGTTGAATGTATGGTGCTGTAAAATGCCATAAGGTGGTTTAAAGTTCTTCATAAACGAAAAAGGTTCTACTTTTAAATTATAGGTAATTAACAAAATGATTTCTGATACTTTGCTTCCATAGTAAAAAACAATATTTATAATTAATTAAATTTTTATATTGAATTGATATTCAATTATTTTTTGTGAAATTACTCCACTAGTTTGTTATAATTACTAATACAAAGATCGAACACTCAGGAAAAATTCCTTTGATCCGGTCGGATTCGAACCGACGTTTTCTTGCATACCGTGACCGTAAAGATCTGTAGGTATAATTATTTTTTTCTAGCAAATAAACATAATCTATTCTAATAAAGAGCTATGTCAATATTGCTATACGGTTGCTTTTAAATACCTGCCCCCGTAGTATGGCTATACAGTCGCGACACGCGCGCGATAAAATTGAAATAAGCGCGCGCTATTGGCTGTCTCAATCAGGTATAATTTAGATAGCCAATAGCGCGCGCTTATCTCAATTTTACCGCGCGCGTCGCGACTATCACGCGTAACCATGCTACGGGGGCTGGTACCGCAATAGCATATAATTTTTCTCAACAAGTATTTCTTTAACTATCTCTGTCATTCTCGGACTAGAGTTTACTACCTAATTTCCCTCGCAATTTTTATTATTTAAGTATTCGTTTTTTTTTCAAGCAATATTATTTCATATTCGAATATTGTATAGTGAAATATTATTTAATAATTACACGATAATAAAATTGCCTCGGAAATTAGGTAGTGAACACTATAAAAAATGTTAGGTAACTGATCTACAAAAAAAAAATACTGTCCAAATAAACATTTCTTGGTGCAATACGCGTGATTAGGAAATTATGTTTGGAAAATTATGGTGCAATATGAGTAATAAGAAAATTATGTTAAGACAGCAATAAAATCAGTGTAATCTCATATTGGACTTACTATTTTTTCTAATTATCATTGCAAAATATAAATAGTACCTATAGTAATGAATAAAAAATCATGTAACTCTAGTTTGATATCTTGAACCAAAAGGTTTACAACCTCTATTGCAAGACTTAAGAGGATTAGTTTACCACAGAACAGAAAATCAATACATTCTTTATATCAACGTTGTATAACAGAATTACTTAAAGTACAGGATTTTAATTAAAATAAAGGTTTTGTATAAAAACTTGTATTTGTTTTTACTGACACATTTTGACTAAGTAATGCTGAATATTGTACGGCAGAGGATAATCTGTAATAATAGCTGACCTGTTTCAATAAGTATAGTAAATTTTAGGGCAATGTTTTTAACATTACTGACATGTCTTATATTACAAATGGTATGGTTTATGCTCTTGACTAATAAATAAACACTTACATTGACATTTTATGTTATCAAATCTAATGAGATAAAAGTTCAAAGTATTCATGACGAGACCGATGCCAACCAGTGAGCACTTTGATTACGATACAGGAGTCAAGGTACAGTTTATAAGTCTACATTTCCACCATCCTCAATCATTTCACCAGTGGCTGGCACCATGACTGGTGCCTCAATGACCTGCTTGCGGCCCTTGGAGTCAATAACTTCCAGAGTTTCCGGCTCTACCTCCATTTCTTCTTCGGCTTGTCTTTGTTTGAGACCTGCTGCCGGTGATCTGTATGAAAAGAAGGTTTATTTAAGATTGTTGTCTAAATATAATCTGTGTCAAGAATATGGTTAATATAAACGCAACATAAATGCATTAGAAATTTGCATAATTGACCTATAGTCCGTTTCATTACTTAATCATTTGATATATGATCAGGGATAGTGCAAATCCTCATATGTAGCATTACCTTTACCTTTACATTACCTCATATGTAGTTCTAAACAATTTTGTTTAGAGTAGATATGCCCTTTAACACATTTAATTTTTTTTCATTATTACTTTGCTGTTTCAACACCTACAACTTTTATTTTTACACAGTAAGTGTTAATTTTATTTTTATAAGTATTAATTTATGTTGTCTACGGACTGAACAAAAGATTCCCATAAATCATGCTAATTTGGTTTCAACAACATTTAAGCAGATTTGATTTGACAACTAAATTACCGAAATTGAAACTCATAAGCCAATGCTAGTTACGAGTTATTGCAATATCCACCACAATATATTGTTATACAATAAGCTTATTATATAGGTATAAAAGACTGCGTTTTTTTGGTTTGCCTATGTTTGGTATTGTATTTCCGACTTGTGAATTGTTCCAAGTCCCTGTTAGAAATTACAGTTTGTAACAGAGTCAAAGATGGAGGGTGTTGTCACAGCAAAACTTTAGTGCGATTCATGTAAGTTCAAGCTATCAAAATATTGTTGAAGTTATGTAGTTGTTTGATCGAAGTCCTATCCAAAATGGGTATTCACATATCCCTTGAACGAACGTTGATATGAGTAGAATTAAAACACAACGACTAATGAACGTCATATTGGATGGTGAAATTTGGCATTTAGTCATCGAAAGTCTATTGAAAGAACTGTCAAAATTTTAGCAGAATACGTTGTTTAGAGTCGATTTAAGTTCGATTCAAATACCAGAATACACCTTAATGATATTTGAACTAAACTACTTTAAAATAAACGCCTTCATGATGACCTCATCGAGACTTATAAAATTCTGATGAGTCAGTACGATCTACCAGCAATACAAAGCATCTTTAAAAGAAAAGAAAACTTTAAACCGTCACGTGGCTCCATCTGAAACTAGTTCATGCACCTTCCAAAACTCCTGCTGCACACAATTTTTTCAGCAACAGAGTGGTGCACAATTGGAACATGCTACCGGAAGATGTCGTTTCTCCTCTGTTAATGCCTTCGAAAACAAGCTCAACAACTGGCTTTGATAGAGTGAGTCAGTGTTAAAAAAGTGAACTAAAACAACGATATAAATTTCAACACTGTGTGATGTAGACATACCAGAGAAAGCTACTTGTCTATAATCAAATAAATAAATCAAATTGGACTCATTGACATTCACTGTCATATGTGAATACGAAAAACCAGTTTAATGACTAAATCACTATGATATAGTAATGGTTTGATAATGTGAATCATCCCACAGGTCCCAGGTTGTATTCCCAGGCCGGTAGAAATATTTATATGGCCTACATTTATTTCTCTCGAGTTTGGGTTTAATTTGTTTGTTTAAGTGTGTGTCCATGGCACCCGCGACACAGGGTTTACCCAGTGCGGTGCTATGTTGAGTGGGTGCGTTATTATTATTATTATATTAAAAGTAAAACACATAGGTACCTGATAAGAGAAATATCTCTCTGAACTTCTCTGACGTCTCTCTGCCACTCCACTTCACGTCCTTTCCTTAGTCTCTGCATAATATAGTTGTTAGATCTTCTCTGTCGAATTTCCTCTACTTTCTTCATAGCTTCAATGGTTTTAGTCCATAATTCTCTGTTGTATTTCAATGGTACGTTTCTCCGTTTTTCGAACTCAAATGACGGGTCTATGGCCAAATCCTTGCCAGCTGTTTTACGGTACGCCTTTGTCCATTTAGTTTTACGCGGATTCTTTTTCTTTTTAAACGCTGCATGGCATTTTGAACGGCAAAATCTGAAAATCTGTGGACCGAATTGGTTAGTTACAATGTGGCGTAATGACATGAAATATGAATAAAAATGACATAAGTTATGTTACCTTGCAATCATTTCTGACGAATTGGATTCCATGGCCAGGATATATCCTGGAGGAGCAGAAATAACAAGTTTCTATACGCATTTTGCACAAAAACTACACGTGCTTGTTTTGGTCACTTGACAGGTCCCGTCAAAAAGAAAGATGGTGGGGTGGTAGCCTCCAAGCGTTGTTACTGATAAAAAATATATTTTTTACGCACAAGCAGTGCCATCTAGCGTTGAGTAGCTATAACTGATACTAAATACTAGTTAACAGTGGATGAAGTTGGTTTAAAGCAGTGCCTTAAATATTTGCTAGATGTCGTTACGAGTCGAAAAGCGTATAATCAAGTTTCACAACTCAAGCACAAAATAAGAAGGAACATTCCAAGTAATTTAACTTTTCAGTTGACTGCCCGATTTATGGCTCCAAAAATACCTCGGGTGTTTATTTCTTGGGATGGATGTTACATTTCTAATTTATTCTTTAACGTATTTAAGGTGAACTTGTGGAGTATGAACGGCAAGCAGATTAATATTCCGATTAAATTTTTAATAGGCAATGGATATTGGGATAAGAAATAAAATAATACATATTTTCTGACTGTATTAAAGATTGACGATAGTATCCAAATTTTGAACAGAGTGCTCTACATATCTTCGGTCACTGTTTTTGTTTATTTCCGGTAAATTCTATGAAACAATAATAATATAATTAATAAAAGTGATAGGTCTTGCAACAAGAGAAAGATTTGATGATTCTGTTAACATTCCGTGAGAATTCATCTAATTAATGTTCAAGAAACGTTACAAACGTTACCTACCTAGTCAAATCTATCGTCTTAATCAATAAATTTACAACAATAAAACTGATTACCATGTAAATGTTTGCGCCCGGTGGTCTGATCGGTATGACGGCGAGGCGGTCACGCCGTGAGTAGAGTTGTCATCACCGATTATCCACTCAATTGCTGACTGACTGGCTGATTATGACTGTCATTAGACGAAATTATTGTTTGTTTTGTTTGTTATTGAAAGATCATTCGCGGCAGACGTACATTGAAAAGTTAATAATATGTGCGTTATTTTTATAGGCTATTGTTCGATAGATAGATCCATAGAAAGAGAATATAGAATAGTTCTAATTAGGTTACAAACTTCGTATTTCCTTAAGCTACCGTGTAATTTGTGTTTCTGATAGCACAGGCTTTTATTTTTGCAATCTTTTCTGTAGTGGCAATAAATCATTATTGTTTTAGAGTATTACTGTTGTACAAGAAATTATTTTTACTCTAGAATTAGTATTTAGGTATAAAACGAATTCACTTAGTTACTTTAGAAATTGACTTGATTTTGATTTATTTTTAAAATTTCGTAATTGATAATAATATATAATACACTAAATTAAATATACACTTAATAACCAAAATAAATTCTAGAGTCGGGCTTCCTAAAAGTATACTATATGAATACAGTTTAATAAATTTTGCAAAAATTCCACTTAATAAATCAAAGTTTCAGTACAAGAGTTTCTCGTGAAAAGAAAGTGAGATAGGAATATAATAGTACTAAATACTATGTAGATTTATAAGTATAACAACAATAAATAGAGCTTAGTATAAGAAAGTCTAGTTTTGTTGTAAATTTTTATTATTTTTGTATATGCAACTATTATGTATGTATGTATATGGTCTAGACGTGGTATTTCTCTAAAATTAAGTAGTTTTGTATTGTACTAACCATAGCAGGTAAGAAAAATTTATTGTATTATTAACATTACTATTGATCATGGTCTGAAAGAAATAATTCTATTCTATTCTATATAAGATTGCGATTCCTCAGTATTACAAATTCATACGTTACCTTTGAACAAATTTGTAGCTCCTTTTATTTACTCTATTTTTTTTTTTTTTTTTTTGTTTATGGCACAGTAGTAGACCTCAGATACAAATAATATTAAAAAAGTCATTAAAAATTAATACACTAGGCATATCTGGGCCCAATTATAACTATGCTCAACATTCAAAAGTACTACAGACGCTAAATAACGGACGCTAAATTTATTATTCTTATACAAAAAAAAACAAAACAAAAAGAATACATTATTTACCTTACAACAATACATGAAGTGACATCTTAAAAGTAGGGACACCGGAGTTAAAAATATCACAATCTTAACATATTTCGTTGTAATACCCACATATATAATACATCCTATACAGAGGGTTATTTTGTGATATATTATTTTTTGTAAGGGGTATAGTGAATAATCGTTGATTACGCACAGACCGAGTCGGAATTCTGAACAGCAACATCTCTAGTAAGCCACCGTCAGACAGTCTATTGGCAATTTTATTCAGTGTACTTAAATCACTCATCCACCTAAGTTTTTCCAAAGAAACCATATGAAAGAGCTCAAGCGATCATCATATTCCCGTATTGTTTTACGTATACCACAATTCACAGACAAAGCTCGTAGGAATCTGCGCTGAAATAGCCTCTATCCTATCTATGTGGCTGTTATATACAGGAGACCAAACCGATGACCAATACTTCAAGACGCTTCTGACTAGGGCTCCATATAAGATGACTCACGATTTTACATTCTGAAATGGTTTGGCGTGTCGGAGTACAAAGAACAGCATTTTATTTGCCTTACTGCAAACGTGGTCGTAATGTGGCCTAAATGTTAGAGAAGAGTCAAAATATACTCCTAAGTCAGAATAGTCTGGACTCGGGTAAGAGTAGACCCATGTATGTTATAGTTGAAGCGCAAGGGGTTCCTATTTTTCGTAAATGATATCACCTGACACTTGCCAACATTGAGTGACAATGTTGGCAAGTGATGAGTGATGACATATCATTGACCATATTAATATATTATATTAGATACACCAATTGGCAATAATATCCACATTTTTTTGTAGAGCTCCGCAATCTTCAATTCTTGCAACTGGGTCAAAAATTTTAATGTCGCCGGCGAACATAAGACATTCACACTGGATGGTATTGAGGAGATCATTAATAAAAATCTGGAACAGAAGCGGTTCGAAATTTGAATCTTGCGGAACCCCTAAACTCGAGATATACGAGAACTTTCACTTCTATTAATGTCATGATATTAAAACAATCTACTGTCACCGATTAACTCACTACAATTTACGAAAAACATTCATTAAACAAAATTATGAAGGAATAACAATCAGGTATTAGTTATTTGTGTAGCTAGAACTGTGTTGCAATTTGACACAATACCTATACGTATGGTTTGTCTTGGCCGGTGGACTTCCTTTATTTGTCTTGTGAAACAACTAAAATAAAAACTTATAAGATATCAAAGGAATGCATTATTACATTATCAATTCTGAGCGATACTCTGGCACACTCATTGCATATGCGCGTTGCACTTTATGCAAATGGGAGTTTCTGATTTTTTGCACTCGCGTGCATTAAAAAAAATCACGTAATTGTCAGCCGTGACATATGAGGTGACATGGGTACATGTTACGACGAGCATTACAATTGCCGAAATTGGGCAGCCTGTGTTGAGTGGAAGGAGGAAGGAGAAGCTGTGAATAATTTTAAATTCACAATTAAATAACACTGAGTAAAAATTACTAAAAGATAATAATTTTGAGTAAATGAAGAGTGGTATCGACGTTAGACGTCTTAGGAATAGGAAAAAACATTTTAAGCAAAACTGTAATCTAGTAGAATTTAGTAGCAGTAGAGCTCTTCGTGCAAGAGTTCATGCAGGGAAGTAGAAGCTTTCTTACTTATTTCTGCTGCAAAGCAGTAATGTGTGCATTACTGCGTTTCGGTTTTGAAGGGTAAGGCTGTTGGTGAAATTACGGGCACACGGGATTTGTCAACTTATGTCTCAGGGTGACCGGGTGGTCTTTATGATTTAAAGCTCTGAGGGGCATTGCAACTGTTATGGACATACGTGTCGCTTACCACCAGGCGCACGGCTTCTTCTTCTTCGACTTCGTCCCGTCACTGGTATCGTTAAAAAAAGAATACACTGGTGGAGTAGTTGCATGAATATTATTTTATTCATTTTATATTTCATTTATTTATTTGACACACCGATAGATGAACGAAAGAACGAAATAAATAGTTGACTGATGTGTCAATGAATATAGGTACAAGGCATCGAGTATTATTTGTAATAACAACCTCAGAAGACAATATTACTAACATTATCGTAAACAACTGCTTATCTTCGTTTGTTGTGTTTAACTGCCTCAGTGGCCGAACTGTTACCATACCGGACTGCCACGCAGAGGTCCTAGGTTCGAATACATTTATTTGTCTCGTGAGTTTGGGTGTAATGTGTGGTTTTCTATGTGTGTTCATGGCACTCCCTAGTGCGGGGTTATGTTGGTACACACCAATTTTTTTTTTTGGTTGTTGGTACACACGTGTGTGTGTGTGTGTGTATGTGTGTGTGTGTGTGTGTGTGTGTGTGTGTGTGTGTGTGTGTGTCGCGTTATCGCGATACGCGATATCGCGTGCGAAAAAGCTGCCCCTGAATGAGCAGGTAGCAGTACCAGCAACAACAGTATTCTGGAGCTGTTTGCGGGTAAACCTGATTCCTTTATACACAAACGTGTAAACCAGTTAATGACTACGCACACAAGCATACAGTCATTCACTGGTTACATAATTGTATAATATAGTTAATATAAGTTCATTTGTTATTAAATTTATTACAATTACTTCTAATAGCTTTCAGATGTTTTGTAATGCTAACCAATCTGAATAAACTGAGCTATCTGAGTAAACCGTAACGTAAAAATCCATCATCATAACAAAAAATTCTACCATCTTCATTCTAGAAATATGTAAATTTGTCAAAATCATCAATATGTCAGTCGGATATAAAAATAGATTAGCACATGATTAGCACTCAAAATTACAGCTGCACAATTTAGGACCTTATGTAATGGATATTAAAATTTAGAACAAAATTCCTAAGCGTAAACAAGTCGTAGGCCTGATGGTAAGCGACATGCCTGTCCATATCAGTTGCAGTGCTACTCAGAGCCTTAAAACTCAGTTTAGAAAAGTTCATTTTGAAATTGGTTATATTCGAATAGAACCATGACCTCCACATCTAACGCCCACAGTGCTAATCATTGGGTTTGAGTTTTTTTTTTATAAC